GTTAGCGCCAGGCGCCTCCTCTCGCCGCCCAGCGTCAATCACAGCTGGAGCCCCGGGGAGGAAGGCCGGCCCGGAGATGCGCGGCCTTTTAAAGAAACAGCGCGCCTTTTCGCCGCTCCAGCCCGGGGCCCCAGCGCTGGCGCCGGTTCTGCGCACCACCCGCGAACCATTTGGAGCGGAGGAACGTGCTGCTGGCTCGGGTTTACTATTGTTCTTTTAAAGGCTTGGCCCCCAATCTGTAAGATGAGTTTCCAGCCGTCGTTCTAAATACCCTGGGATTGTTTGCAAATATGGCCTATTTTAGGTGCGTGAGTATTTGAAATAAACACGATCAGTATCTGATTCTGACACATTTCAGGTGTATACGTTGGCATTCTGCTGCGACTCCCCAAGTTTGGGGACTAAGGCGAGAAGTGGAGCAAAAGGTGGGAAAACTTGAGAGGAACTTAGTAGGCAGTGAGTCCCTGAACACAGATAGTGCCCGTCCTGGAGAAGGAGGTTTCCTGGCTCAGAACTTTTAACAGCTTCTGAGCCAGGAAGTATATTTTTTCCTCCTCCTTCTATGACTTTTTTTTGTTTGCTTTCTTGTGACTGGGGTTATCTTTAGTTTAATATCTTAGAACTTCTTTTGGAGATTTATAGGGCACGTGTACACCCTTAAAATGGTTCTTTGGTGTTCTCTCTATTAAACAGGAAAAAAAAAGGAAATTCTTAATGATTTATTCCCTTTCCAAGTAAATACCTGGAATTTTATAACATTACATCTCAGTAAAAACGAAGGCATTCATTGCACAAATTTCTTTGTAGGGAGGCAGCACATAGCAAGTTTCTACTTACAGGTGTTGGATGTTGTAAATTAAATTAAACGTACATAATAATGCGTGTGTATATCACATATGGTACTTCAGCAGAAAATCAAGAGTTTTGTAATTATGAATTTCGTTAAGAGACTTGCAACCACATGCAGAAATTTTAATGATTTGACTTCCTGTAAATTTTATATGGGATAAGTTCCTTTAATTTGCTACAACTATCTTTATTTTCTTAAATACATGACAATAGTGGAATGCATTACACTCATTATTACCCATATACTGCACAATTTTTCATAACTCTGTATATCGAGTATGTTTACACCAGAGACAAGATAAAATTTGATTCAAAATTTGAAAATCTACATTAATTATAAAAGTGGTATCCCATGTTGAAAGAAAAATAACAAATTTTCTATTCTCAAAGATAAGATAAATCCTTTGTTATTGTACTGACGACATTTCTATGGTCCTAGTCCAAAACATGATGTCTATATTTTAATTCACCTTGTAACATCTAGTATCTAGCACTCCTTGGGCAATAAGCTGTGTTTCCCAAATGTCTGTTGAATTAAATTTAAAAATTGTATGATAGGCTCTAAATAAGTTATCGAAAAAAAATCAGAATACTTCACTTAGATATATTCCCTGCTTGTATAATTATATCAAAATGGATTCTGCTGTCATATATAACTAAAAAGAACTAATACATTTCAAAGCAAAACAAAACAAAAAGGAATAGTAAATGATTTTTCAGAGTTTCTTCCTTAAAATCTGATCTACAATGAAGCTAACATGAACTTGATCTCCATGCACAAGCAAATTGCCACCTAGTGATTTTGTTACCATTTGGAGAACTACCCTGGATTGTATCATTCTGGAAGCTTAGTTGAAGATAAACTTGCTGTGAAGTAGAGTAAAACTCATCTTCATGTTTGATGGAGAGTTGACAACTTGCTTTTTTATAGACTGTTCTCTCCCTGATGCCTTCTTTTGAGGTGCCCAATCGGAAAACCTAGAAGAGAAAAAAACAAAGCCTGAAGCTCAAAGAACTTAAGTGTCTAGAGTCACTCAGGATGTGATTCAGGTTTTCAGGTTCTCTGCTCACTCCACAGTCTGTTTCTCTCTCTCTTTCTCTTTCTTCCCCTCCCCCACCATAATGGGGATGGAAACCAAGGTGGCTGCTCTACCACTGAGCTATATTCCCAGCCACAGTGTCTGCTGACCTGGCTATTATTTAAGTTTGAGTCACTGTCCTCCCTTTTTGGTTGGATCAGCTTTCAGGATCTTTAATATTAAAGTAAAGGTAATAGTGAAAAAGCAAATTGTAGTGACCAACAACATTGAAATTAAATTAAACTTTGAAATTAAAGTCTGATAAGTATTGTTCAAGATTTTGTTGCTTGCAGCAATGGGAATAGGGATAACTCAGTTCATGAAACCCAAATTAAGATAAAATAGAAAAAAAAACACTTTACATTTTAAACTCAGTCTGATTATAGAAGTTGATATAAATGTATGTTGACCCAGTCACTGTAAAAGCTTGGGGGAGAAAAAAAAAACAGTTAAGCAAAAAGAAACAAAAGCACTAATCCTGATAATAATAAAGGTACATTCATATGTGTATATATTTTAATATTCAAAATTAAATGTGTAAGTATACGATTTTAATCCTTTTACCTTGCTTCCAAACCTAGCCTCTGAAATTTCAATACCAGTTTGCAAGCTTCTTGAGTCAAGGGTGGTGTGCTTTTCACCAATATGTTCCCAATATTGAGTACAGTTCCTAATGCAAAGCAGTCACACTGTACTCGCAAAATGAATGTTGAGCAAAGAGATAAAAATGATCTGAATGTTATTGCACATCCTCTGCCTAGGCTTATTTTTTAAAGGGTAAGGATCTGTTAAAATTGTTTTTAGGTAAGGATCTGTTATGGTTTAGATATGAGGTGTCTCCCCAAAGAGTTCATGTGGCAAGTAGGAATGTTCAGAGGTGAACTGATCAGATAATGAAAACTGTAACCTAATTAGGGGATTAATCCATTTGATGGACTAATAGTTTGAACAGAAGTCTACTGAGTGGTGACTGTGGGCAGGGACAGTGTAACTGGAGGAAGTTTCTCTCTGAGGGCTTATGCCCTTAGGGATTCTGTTTCATCCTTATCACTTAGCACTCTGTTTCCTGGTCACCAAGAGGTGAGCAGCTTTCCTCCTCATGTCCTTCCACCATGATCATCTCAGGCCCAGGTAGTGGGAAGAGCAGGAACTGGAGCTCTGAAACCATGAACCCGATATAAACTTTTCCTCCTCTAAGTGGCTTTTGTCAAAGTTTTTGGTCACAGCAACAGAAAGCTGATTAACACATACTCTAAGTCAGTAAAAAGGGAATAAAAACATATAGGTCAAGTATCCCTTTTCTAAAATACTTTGGACAATAAGTGTTTCAGAATTTGGAATTTTAAAGATTTTTGAAATATTTTCATAGACATCACCGGTCAATAAGACACTTAAAAAGTTCTGGACTTGGGAACATTTCAGATCTCAATTTCAGATTTTCTGATTCAAAAATCCCCAAAGAGGTACTAGGTACCTGTTGTTTTTCTTCACCGGATCCTGTCCTTCCAGAAACTGTTTTCTCTAAATTTCTTCTATAGGTTTTCTATGAAAGCTGGTCAGTCATGGTAGAGGTGGAAACTGCCTGGACACACTAGGGCCCATAATCTGGTTCATACAACCAACACCCCACCTGGCAGTAAGGACAAGCAAATGTCTCTCTACCTCGCTGCTAGAGTAATATCAGAGGTGGACTAGTATCAGTGGAGAAGCAGGACTTTTCCACTGCCCAGGCTAGCAGGGCCACTGCATGGCCATATCCGCAGAAAGCACATGGGCACCCAGCATTCTCATGGTGTGTGCCACAACAAGGAGGCACCTCACCTTGGATGACAAGTTGGAAAACCTGGGATCCTAACTCCTCCTGGCAGTTACGAGAAGTCTTCCTCCTTCCCCTGCTAGAACATTATTAGAGATATTTGAACAGAAGTTTTAAATCAGATCGAGAGTCTCATAACACAATATGAAAATGTCCAGGTTTCCATAAAAAAAATCATTCATCATACCAAGAAGCAGAAAGATTCCAAACTATAGATAAAAAAAAAAAAAAGATGATCAACAGATCAACTCCAAAACAACCCTCAGACAACGATTTTAAAGCAGCCATGAAAAAAACTCCTCAGTGAGCAGCCACAAACACACCGGTAACAATGAAAGACTAGAAAGCATCAGCAAAGAAATAGAACATATGAAGGAGCAGCAAGTGGGAATTTTACCACTGAGAGATACCACTGAGGTGACAAATAAACCATTGAGTGGGCTGAAAATCAGAATGGAGCAGACAGAGAAGAGAATCCATGAGCCGGAGTTCTATCAGAGAACAAAAAATACTGTGCATTCTGAACAAGGAGAATGTAGACTGAAAACTATAAATAGAGACTTAAGGACGTATGGGAGTATAATAATGCATCTAATATCTGTGTCATCAGAGGTCCCAAAAGAGACGAGAGCAAGGGAAGAGCTGAGAAGTACCTAAAGAAGTAATGGTTAACCTCCTAAACTCAAATGACAATGATAGAAGTGTTGTCATGGATCTGTGGCTGCCAACAGTTACAGTAGGGTGGGCAGTGAGTGTGCTTGTGGATGGCACGGTGAGCGTCTTTGTGGTGATGTAATCGTTCTCTCTTGACCTCATCAATGCCCATCTCTTGGTTGTGATATTGTACAACAGAATTGCAAGGTATTCTCACCTTTGGGGGAAACAGGGAAATGGGTAAATGAAATCCCTCCACATTATTTCTTACATGCACTTGTGATTGACAGTTATCTCAAAGCAAAGATTTTAATTTGAAACTAGAAGCCTTGTCCTCG